GTTAAATTTGGTGTTACTTTAGATTTGCAGTGGTATAACGGAAAGCAAAATAAAAGAACATTGCATATAACATTCTACAAATGTATCTCAAAATACTTTACAGAGTTAAATGATATAGCTATGAAGCTAAAATAAAAAGCAACGGCAGAGGGAAGTATAGGCATAGAAGAAAAATGTCTTGAGATGAAACCTGAAAACAAATGATGATTTAGAAGTAGTGAGGAAGGGGAAAGAAGCTTCTGATAACAAGAGCTAAAGAAGGCTTTCAATCTAACAGTTGCAAGATTATATGTAGTGACAGAAAGGGGCCAGGGCTAGACAAATGGATGGGCAGGGAAGAGATCAAAGGTAGACAAGGTCTGTGAAGATGACTGAAACAAGTTTCAGAAGGTTTAAGGAAACAAGGTCAATTTTGAACTGATTCCTAAAATGAAAGGGGAGCCAATGGAATTGTTTGAGGATAGAGCTGATGTGGGCTCTATCTATGAGTCTGCTAGCACTTCTCCCACAGCCATCCCTTTGCTTTCTCCAGTGCTGCCTCTTACTCCTGGAAGGGAACACTCTCCGCAGAGTAGTCCATAAACCTCCTGCTTGGTACTCCTCTAAAACCTTCCTCAAGACCCACTTTATCAGGAGATAATATGGTAAATTGCCAGATGAAAATGGCTTGGCAGGTTGCCTGCAGGGATACTGAGATCACTAACTTCTTTGCTTATATTTAAAAAAAAAACCTTCTATTCTAAATCTGATAATTTTGCCTGGACCTCTGTCTACATAGTCACTTGTTCCCTCCTTCTCTCTCTCCCCCCCTTCCCCCCTTCTTTGTTACACCTACTCGAGTATTTTCTTAAATTAGACTGGGAGTTCTTTGAGGCCTAGACTGTCTCTTACTGTATGTTTTTACAGTACAAAAGTACTAACCTTTTTGTTCTGTGTTTATACAGCACCTACAGTGAGCATAGCCAATGGGTCATTTTCAAGGCACTGAAGATGTCCTGATCACCCACTGCAGCTAAGGAAGTCCCCAGCTGTAACGATTCTTCGTGCCGCTGGAATCTGGCTTCCACGGCCAAGAGTGGGACTGCCCCTGTGCAACAGCTTTCTCACTCAAAGATTTCCCACACAGGTTTTCTCGCAACTCTCATCCCATTAACATCGTTTTATCAAATCTCCTCATCCTTACATCCTAGAAGGGACTAGAAAAGGTGCCCTAAACATTGCTTTCCCCATAACATCTCGCCAGACTACCATGACTGGCAGATCATCCTACGGTGGTCAAAAAACAATACAGAAGAAAAGACTCACCTTAGGGGTATAGAATGTCTGCACTCTTATGGATGGAGGTGATGCACAAAGGCCTGAGAGAAGAACAGCTCTTGTCTCCTGAGAACTTGCCTGCCACAATATTGATATTGCAGCACTGAGGGTATGTCTACACTACGAAATTAGGTTGAATTTATAGAATTCGTTTTTTTAGAAATCGGTTTTATATATTCGAGTGTGTGTGTCCCCACAAAAAATGCTCTAAGTGAATTAAGTGCATTAACTCGGCGGAGTGCTTCCACAGTACCAAGGCAAGCGTCAACTTCCGGAGCGTTGCACTGTTGGTTGCTATCCCGCAGTCTCCGCTGCCCATTGGAATTCTGGGTTGAGATCCCAATGCCTGATGGGGCTAAAACATTGTCACTGGTGGTTCTGGGTACATCTCGTCAGGCCCCCATTCCCTCCTTCCCTCCCTCCGTGAAAGCAAGGGCAGACAATCATTTTGTGCCTTTTTTCCTGAGTTACCTGTGCAGACGCCATACCACAGCAAGCATGGAGGCCGCTCAGCTCACTTTGGCAATTAGAAGCACATTAAACACCACACGCATTATCCAGCAGTATATGCAGCACCAGAACCTGGCAGAGTGATACCGGGCGAGGAGGCGACGTCAGCGCGGTGACGTGAGTGATCAGGGCATGGACACAGATTTCTCTGAAAGCACGGGCCCTGCCAATGCATGCATTATGGTGCTAATGGGGCAGGTTCATGCTGTGGAACGCCGATTCTGGGCTCGGGAAACAAGCACAGACTGGTAGGACTGCATAGTGTTGCAGGTCTGAGACGATTCCCAGTGGCTGCGAAACTTTCGCATGCGTAAGGGCACTTTCATGGAACTTTGTGACTTGCTTTCCCCTGCCCTGAGGCGCATGAATTCCAAGATGAGAGCAGCCCTCACAGTTGAGAAGCGAGTGGCGATAGCCCTGTGGAAGCTTGCAACGCCAGACAGCTACCGGTCAGTTGGGAATCCATTTGGAGTGGGCAAATCTACTGTGGGGGCTGCTGTGATGCAAGTAGCCCACGCAATCAAAGATCTGCTGATATCAAGGGTAGTGACCCTGGGAAATGTGCAGGTCATAGTGGATGGCTTTGCTGCAATGGGATTCCCTAACTGTGGTGGGGCCATAGACGGAACCCATATCCCTATCTTGGCACCGGAGCACCAAGCCGGCGAGTACATAAACCGCAAGGGGTACTTTTCAGTAGTGCTGCAAGCTCTGGTGGATCACAAGGGACGTTTCACCAACATCAACGTGGGATGGCTGGGAAAGGTACATGATGCTCACATCTTCAGGAACTCTGGTCTGTTTCAAAAGCTGCAGGAAGGGACTTTATTCCCAGACCAGAAAATAACTGTTGGGGATGTTGCAATGTCTATAGTTATCCTTGGGGACGCAACCTTACCCCTTAATGCCTTGGCTCATGAAGCCGTACACAGGCAGCCTGGACAGTAGTCAGGAGCTGTTCAACTACAGGCTGAGCAAGTGCAGAATGGTGGTAGAATGTGCATTTGGACGTTTAAAGGCGCGCTGGTGCAGTTTACTGACTCGCTTAGACCTCAGTGAAACCAATATTCCCACTGTTATTACTGCTTGCTGTGTGCTCCACAATCTCTGTGAGAGTAAGGGGGAGACGTTTATGGTGGGGTGGGAGGTTGAGGCAAATCGCCTGGCTGCTGGTTATGTGCAGCCAGACACCAGGGCGGTTAGAAGAGCACAGGAGGGCGCGGTATGCATCAGAGAAGTTTTGAAAACCAGTTTCATGACTGGCCAGGCTACGGTGTGAAAGTTCTCTTTGTTTCTCCTTGATGAAACCCCCCGCCCCTTGGTTCACTCTACTTCCCTGTAAGCTAACCACCCGCCCCTCCTCCCGTCAATCACCGCTTGCAGAGGCAATAAAGTCATTGTTGCTTCACATTCATGCAGTCTTTATTCATTCGTCACACAAATAGGGGGATGACTACCAAGGTAGCCCAGGAGAGGTGGTGGAGGAGGGAAGGAAAATGCTACACAGCACTTCAAAAGTTTACAACTTTAAAATTTATTGAATGCCAGCCTTCTTTTTTTTTGGGCAATCCTCTGTGGCGGAGTGGCTGGTTGGCCGATGGCCCCCCCCCCACTGCATTCTTGGGTGTCTGGGTGTGGAGGCTATGGAACTTGGGGAGGAGGGCGGTTGGTTACACAGGGGCTGTAGTGGCAGTCTGTGCTCCAGCTGCCTTTGCATACACTGGAGCATACTGGTTTGATCCTCCAGCAGCCTCAGCATTGAATCCTGCCTCCTCTCATCACGCTGCCGCCACATTTGAACTTCAGCCCTCTCTTCAGCCCGCCACTTACTCTCTTCAGCCCACCACCTCTCCTCCCGGTCATTTTGTGCTTTCCTGCACTCTGACATTATTTGCCTCCACGCATTCGTCTGTGCTCTGTCAGCATGAGCTCAGAGAACATTTCATCACGAGTGTGGTTTTTTTTTTCTTTCTAATCTTCACTAGCTTCTGGGAAGGAGAAGATCCTGTGATCATTGAAACACATGCAGCTGGTGGAGAGGAAAAAAAAAACAGCGGTATTTAAAAAGACACATTTTATAAAACAGTGGCTACACACTTTCGGGGTAAACCTTGCTGTTAACATTACATACATAGCACATGTGCTTTCGTTACAAAGTCGCATTTTGCCTCCCCCCCACCGTGTGGCTACCCCCTCAACCCTCCCCCTCCCCGTGGCTAACAGCAGAGAACATTTCTGTTCAGCCACAGGCAAACAGCCCAGCAGGAACGGGCTCCTCTGAATGTCCCCTGAAGAAAAGCACCCTATTTCAACCAGGTGACCATGAATGATATCTCACTCTCCTGAGGATAACACAGAGAGATAAAGAACGGATGTTGTTTAAACGCCAGCAAACATACACTGTAATGCTTTGTTGTACAATGATTCCCGAGTACGTGTTACTGGCCTGGAGTGGTAAAGTGTCCTACCATGGAGGACGCAATAAGGCTGCCCTCCCCAGAAACCTTTTGCAAAGGCTTTGGGAGTACATCCAGGAGAGCCGCGAATGCCAGGGCAAATTAATCCTTTCACATGCTTGCTTTTAAACCATGTATAGTATTTTAAAAGGTACACTCACCCGAGGTCCCTTCTCTGCCTGCTGGGTCCAGGAGGCAGCCTTGGGTGGGTTGGGGGGGTACTGGCTCCAGGTCCAGGGTGAGAAACAGTTCCTGGCTGTCGGGAAAAACGGTTTCTCCGCTTGCTTGCTGTGAGCTATCTACAACATCATCATCATCTTCTTCATCCCCAAAACCTGCTTCCGTGTTGCCTCCATCTCCATTGAAGGAGTCAAACAACACGGCTGGAGTAGTGGTGGCTGAACCCCCTAAAATGGCATGCAGCTCATCATAGAAGCGGCATGTTTGGGGCATTGACCCAGAGCGGCCGTTCGCCTCTCTGGTTTTCTGGTAGGCTTGCCTCAGCTCCTTAAGTTTCACGTGGCACTGCTTCGGGTCCCTGTTATGGCCTCTGTCCTTCATGCCCTGGGAGATTTTGACAAAGGTTTTGGCATTTCGAAAACTGGAACGGAGTTCTGATAGCACGGATTCCTCTCCCCAAACAGCGATCAGATCCCGTACCTCCCGTTCAGTCCATGCTGGAGCTCTTTTGCGATTCTGGGACTCCATCATGGTCACCTCTGCTGATGAGCTCTGCATGGTCACCTGCAGCTTGCCACGCCGGCCAAACAGGAAATGAGATTCAAAAGTTCGCGGTTCTTTTCCTGTCTACCTGGCCAGTGCATCTGAGTTGAGAGTGCTGTCCAGAGTGGTCACAATGGAGCACTCTGGGATAGCTCCCGGAGGCCAATACCGTCGAATTGTGTCCACAGTACCCCAAATTCGACCTGGCAAGGCCAATTTAAGCGCTAATCCACTTGTCAGGGGTGGAGTAAAGAAATCGATTTTAAGAGCCCTTTAAGTCGAAATAAAGGGCTTCATCGTGTGGACGGGTGCAGGTTTACATCGATTTAACGCTGCTAAATTCGACCTAAAGTCCTAGTGTAGACCAGGGCCCAGTGAGATTAGACTGGCCAGAGAAGTTTCCATCAGTGAGCTAGGAGGTGATTATCGTTTCTTTTGGAAAGGAAAAGTAGAGGATGAAGACAAGATCCAAGGAGTTGGCTTTGCAATAAGAAACAAATTCCTGACCTCCCTGTTGGCCTGAATGAACGGCTCCTGAAACTTCAGTTTCCCCTGAATCCTTTACGGCATGTCACTGTCATCAGTGCCTATGCACCTACACTGATCACCGCAGAGGAAAGCAAGGAGCAGTTCTACTCTGACTTGGACTCCAGCATCAGATCAACCGCTGCATATGACAAGCTCATCCTGCTGGGAGACTTTAATGCCAGAGTTGGTAGAGACAGCAGTTACTGGAAAGGTGTTATAGGTCAACATGGAGTGGGAAAGATGAACAGCAATGGCCTCCTCCTCTTTGGTAAACGTGCAGAATAGTCTGTTCATTACTAGCATCTTTTGGCAAAATGATAAATATAAAACATGGATGCACCCACGGTCCAAACAATGGCACCTGATCGACTATGTTATCACCTGCCAACGAGACATCTGCGATGTCAGAATTACCAGAGCCATGCATGTTGCAGAATTCTGGACACACCACAGATTGGTAAGAGTAGTGCTTAACCTGCATATAGTCCCTTCACAGCACAAGTGCCCCAAACTTAATAAAATAGCCTTCAACACAGCAAAGCTCAAGCAAGCCAACTATCAGTTGCAGTTTCAGCAGTTACTTGATGACAAGCTTTTTTTCATGCCTGCCAGTCACTGGCAACTCAACAGAAAAATGGAACCAGTTCAAACATGTGATTATGACACAGCTAAATCAGTACTGAGGCCAAAGATAAGGGTACACCAGGCGTGGTCAAGGACATTTCCAAACTGCTAAGTGACCAGCATAAAGCATTTGTTGAATGGCAGAATGATCTCACTTCCATCTCAAAGAAAGATAGGTTTAAGTACCTACAGAGCAAGGCCCAGTCTGAACTGAGGAGAATGCAGTATGAATGGTGGGAGAAGAAAGCTGCAGAAGTTCAGCATTAAACAGATACAAACAATGCAAAGATGTTCTTTGACTCTCTCAAAGCAGTCTATGGACCATCTAAGTCTGGCAAACCTTCCTTGAAGTTGGCAGATGGCACAACCCTCATCAAAGAGGACGAGGAAATTGTACAGATAGGGCTGAACACTTCAATAGTCTACTCAATAGATCATCCACAGTCGATTGGCATGTCCTTGATCATTTACCTGAGAACCCCATCAAAGAGGATCTTGACCTCCGTCTATCAGTTGAGGAAGTTTATGAAAGCCATCAAACAAATGAACTCTGGCAAAGCCTCTGGAAAGGATGGTATTCCAGCAGAATTATATGAAGTAGCAGGCCCCAACACCATCAAGGTGTTTCATGACATCTTGAGTAGCATTTGGGAGGAAGAAGAAATGCCACAAGACTTCAAAGATGCTATTATTGTATCATTGTTCAAAAACAAAGGCAGAAAAGCTGACTGCAGAAACTACAGAGGCATTGTTTTCCTCTGTACAGCAGGGAAAATACTAGCTCGCATTCTGTTGAACAGACTCATTGCAAACATATCTGAGGGGAATCTGTCAGAAGTGCAGTGTGGTTTCAGACCAGGTCATAATATTATGGACTTGATCTTTTTTGTAAGGTCCAGGAAAAATGTTTAGAGCAGAACAATGGACCTGTATGCAGTTTTCATCTATTTGACCAAAGCTTTTGATACGGTCAGAGAGGGTCTATGGGCTATTCTGCATAAACTGGGATGCCCAGGAAGGTTCATTCAAATCACCTGTCAGTTCCATGAACACATGACAGGGCAAGTGCTCACCAGTGGTGCCTTTTCTGATGCATTCAAAATCTCAAATGGAGTGAAACAAGGCTGTGTACTTGCTCCAGTGCTGTTCAGCTTGTTCTTTGCTTGTGTCCTCAGCCATACTACAAGGGACTTGAATCAGGGGATATACATCCGCTGCCACCTCGATGGCTTCATCTTTGATCTTCGAAGATTCAGTGCTAAGACCAAGGTGCTGCAGAAAAGTCTCGTCAAGGCACTTTTTGCAGATGACTGCGCCTTGATTGCCCACAGACAAGATGACCTTCAGATCATCATTGAGAGATTTTCTGAAGCATCCCAGCTCTTTGGCCTCACCATCAGTCTTGGGAAGACAGAGGTCTTGTTCCAACCAGCACCTGATTCCAGTGCCCCAGTGCCAGCCATCTTCGTCCAAGGCACACCATTGAAAAATGTGGATCAGTTCAAGTATCTGGTCAGTACCATCTGAAGTGACGGTTCCCTTGATAAGGAAATTTCCTCCAGAATTAGTAAAGCCAGCCAGGCCCTTGGCAAACTTCAAACAAAAGTCCTTAACCAACATAACCTTTGTGTCTCCCCCAAACTAAGATCCATAGTGCAGTGGTTCTAACAGCTCTCCTGTATGGATCTGAGACGTGGACTCTTTATAGACATCACATTAAACAGTTTGAGCAATTTCATGTGTGCTTCCTCTGCTCATTAATGAGCATTTCCTGGCAGGATAGAGTGATCAGTATTCAGACCCTTGAAAGAACAAACCAGGACTGAGGAAATGTTACTGAGACCACAACTTAGGTGAACCGGACATGTCATCAGAATGGAAGACCACTGTCTTCCAAAACAGATCTTATAGGGGGAGCTGAGTCAGGGCAAAAGAAAGAAGGGTCATCCAGGTAAGCATTTAAAGATCATTTGAAGAGCAGTCTCCAGTGGACTGGTATCAATCCCAAAGAAGTTGAGCAAATGGCTCAGAATAGGACTCACTGGTGGTCTCTGACAAGATCAGCATGTAACTCTTTTGAGCAGGATCAACAAATTCATCTCCAGGCCTGCATGTGAAAGGCTAACAGAGCTGCATCATCAAACATCATAGATACAGACTTCCCCTGCCCTCAGTGCAGCCAACTCTGCATCAGGTTTCGGACTTTGGAGTCACATGTGTGGCCATAGATGAGAACTGCAACAATATCATCGTCATCAGCAATGGACTACCAACACATACAGCACATAGCAGAGTGTGGATCTTTGCCTTGCAGCTACTGAGGGAAGGCAGGATCTCTCCCATCAACAACTGTCTGAAGGCCCCTACCTGAGGGAAGAGAGGACCTGCTTCTGTTATACCCGGAAAGGGAGGCGTTTCCTCCTCTTCCCTACTAACCAGTTTATTTGTGTTGATTTCCCATGTTTTGTTTGCGGGCTATCCCTGAAGGGAACTGACCTGGACAGAGAGCCAAGGCACGAGAGGAGGCAGAGAGCTACCATGCTATGCCTGGCTGCAAAGAGGTGCCAAGCAGTGAGCGAACGCCCTTCACGCTCTCCTGTTACACATTGCAAACTTTGGACAATAGCAGGGTGGTAGGAAGTGGCCCAGGGAGGGCAGTTTTAAGGCGCTTCTGGGTGTCCGTATTTAATTGGAAATGAAAGAGGTGCTGGAGCTCAAGCAATATTTTTATTTTCATAACTAAAGCAGCAAGCCCAGAAGTGCCGGGGCTATGAACCTCCAGGTGCCGGGGTTCAGCCCTGGCAAGCCCTGGCACAAATTAAGCACTCATGTCAGACCCTTTGGTTGCCCCCACAGCTCTCTGGGCCAGAGCCTGGTGCAACGGGGGCACCTGGACTTCCCTACCAACCCCCCCTTTCTGAAGGTTGACGGGCCTAATCCTGAGACTACTGGGCAACATTCCCCACAAGCAAAGACCATCACATCTGGAAATACACTGGTCATGAGGGAGAGAGACTCATGTCTCTGCCCAAGAGAGGCAACAGCCTGGGAGCCAGAAGTCTAGGAGCGGGTGCCCCTGCTGAACCACAGAGGGGGAATACAGGTAGAGTTGTCGGAACTGTGACAAATGTATCCCGTGAAGTATGCAGCTGGAGATTTTCTCCAGGAGCCGCCTGCCTGATGTAGAAGGCTCAGCTAAGCCCCTATTCTCAGGGATGAAAGAAGGCTTCGTCCGAACAACTCTTGCTACAACTTCCTCATAGCATGTTGTCTGTGTATCACAAAACACTCTGGGTGCGTCAAGTCCAGGAATAATGAAGGTGTCAAGTCCAGGAATAATGAATGGGTTGTAAAAGCAGTGCACAGAGCTTGCAAATGGCTCCTTTGAAGGCTCTCACTTACTTTTTCTGACTACACATAAATCATCAGCTCCATCTGTCTGCCATTTTCCTCAGCATCCTGTGCATCGAAACTCACTAGGAAAGAGCAGGGAAGCCCATCCCAAATCTCAACTGCTTTCTCCCGTGAGTGAAAGAACATAAGAATGGCCATACTGGGTCAGACCAGTAGCCCATTTAGCCTGTTAGCCTGTCTCTAACAAGGGCAATGCCACATGCTTCAGAGGGAATGAACAGATAATATATGACTGTTGAAAAGCACCAGCCCCAGTACAGATCCTTGGGAGACCCCACTGTTTACCTCTCTCCACTGTGAAAATAGATCATTTGGGGAGGGATAGCTCAGTGGTTTGAGCATTGGGCTGCTAAACCTAGGGTTGTGAGTTCAGTCCCTGAGGGGGCCATTTAGGGATCTGGGGCAAAAATTGGGGCTTGGTCCTGTTTTTAAGCAGGGGGTTGGACTAGATGACCCCCTGAGATCCCTTCCAACCCTGATATTCTATGATTTATTCCTACCCATTGTTTCCTGTCTTTTAACCAGTTTCTGATCCATGAGAGGACTTTCTCTCTTATTCCATGGCTGCGTACTTTGTCTAGAATCCTTTGGTCAAAGGCTTTCTGAAAGTCCAAGTGCAC